AAACAAATTTTAAATGTATAATAAAAAGGTTAAAATTTTACATGAGCTTTTTATTTTTAAAATGTTAGTTAAGTGTATTTCTTTATATATTTAAAATATTAATAAATACTCTGAGGATAGAGTGGCATGACACTGTTTGGGATGATGGCATTGGCTTATAGAACTGTTACATTAGAATTGAAAGTATTCCACATGAACTGAAATCAGGATGCAGTGGCTGCAAATAAGTTCTTCAGATAAATTCAAGTATAAGAATATGACAAGAATAAGCTACCATTTATAAAGACACCTAAACAAACTGAAACCCTAAGGAATTTTCAAATTGTGAAGTAATGGGAACAGTCATTTAATGTGGATGGAGGGAGCTAGTAAATGCTTCCCTTTTTAAATATCTCAAGATTAAATTGTGAAATGAGACAATTGAAACAGGGAAGATGATTTAGTGGCAGCATAACAGATTACCATTTAGAGAGGCCATACCCCTGAGAACTGAGTGCCTTAGGGGACAGGACCAAGGTTAGAACACAAAAAAGTATTCAGGAAAAGGCTTGCCACTTAGCTATATATATATATTTTTTAATATATTTTATTGATGTTTTACAGAGAGGAAGGGAGATAGAGAGTTAGGAACATCAATGAGAGAGAAACATCGATCAGCTGCCTCCTGCACATCTCCCACTGGGGATGTGCCCGCAACCAAGGTACATGCCCCTGACCGGAATCGAACCTGGGACCTTTCAGTCCGCAGGCCGATGCTCTATCCACTGAGCCAAACCGGTTTCGGCTATATATATATTTTTTTTTTAATAGATATTTTCTTAAGGATTTACGCAGGCTTAGTTCTAACACTTTGTAAACATTCCTATTTGTTTCCACTTTTTTACCTCTAAAGATTTTATCTCGTAGTCACTTTGAGACATCCTACCTGCTTGGAGAAGTTATTTTCACCCAGTCTTCTTGCCTGACCGACCTCTTGTAAGCATGAGCAGTCCTGCTCCAGCTTACCATCAAGTGCACACCTTGAAGTTAATTTTTATGTCATGCCAACATGCTATCACCTGTTGTAATACCACTGCCCTGTCTCTCTTTAGAACTGCAGTAAATTGTGGATAAGCATGTGTTTAATGTTAGTCTTTCTCTAGAACAAGTCTTTTCCTCACTGCAGCATTCCCAACCTCTAACCTAGCCCCTGGCAGAGATAGGCACCCAGGAAACGCGTGTTGCATGATTTCCAGGAGGAGGCTCCTTCTCAAATCTGGTCATGGCACAGCTGTAGCCTGATGCAAATGTGCGAGATAAGCAAGAACTAGAACCCAGAGGGATGTGAAGTCATGTTGAAGAAGCTTGTGTTTCATCTAAGAACAGTTAATAGGCCATTGAAGGATTGTAAGTCAAAGTCCATTTTTGGGTGGACATCTCCCTTCTAGACCTCTAGCTAGTGCTTTCTTCAAGGTTCATAGAAAATGTATTTGTCACATGAAAAGCAAAGTAACATTTGATTTATAGTTATATAAACAGTAAGTTCCTATAAACATTTCCAGAGTACTTTTCTTACACTTTATAAAAACAATCATTTTATGTATTTAAAGATTAGGGAAGGATTTATAAACAGAAGAATGAAAATATTTATTTTTCAATGCAGAAACTACTATACTGAATTTGGGTTTGTTGTAAAAACAAAACTTATAGTAGTTATAGTTTTCAAATTAAAAAAGCAATTAGTAGATATATAATATCTTCTGAGTAATTTGATATGCCTAAGAGCAGGCAGAAGCAAAATAGATAATAAACTTCATCCAGGGAATTAAATAATAAATATTATAAGAATGGCAAGTTGTGCTTTGGTAGGAATTTTAAATGAAAATTATTTTTAGTTCCTATTCTAAATGAGCCAAAGAATTTAAAGTCCCACTCTTTTTTTTTTTTTTTTTAAATATATTTTATTGATTTTTACAGAGAGGAAGGGAGAGGGATAGAGAGTTAGAAACATTGATGAGAGAGAAACATCAATCAGCTGCCTCCAGCACACCCCGTACTGGGGATGTGCCCGCAACCAAGGTACATGCCCTTGACCGGAATCGAACCTGGGATCCTTCAGTCTGCAGGCTGACGCTCTATCCACTGAGCCAAACCAGTTAGGGCTAAGGTCCCACTCTTAAGTAATATATGATGTTAAATGTGTTGCTTTTATTTATTTAGGCTTAGCAACAGGAATTTATTTTCACGCAGTCCTGGATCCAAGACTGGAGTTTCTGCAGGATTGGTTCCTTCTGAGGGCCATGAGGAAGGGATCTGTTCTAGGCCCCTCTCCTTGTCTCTGGATAGTCATCTTCTCTCTGTGTCTTCACATCGTCTCTCCTCTGTACGTGTCAGTGTCTGAATTTCCTCTCCACTGTCATCTCGATCCTTGAACATGCATTGCTTTTAAATAAACAACGTTTTTATGCTTTTAAATTAACCTTCCAAGAAATGGTTTTTTTTCTTTAAGAAAATATACTTCCTTTCTGATTATAAACGTAATAGATGCTTATTGCAGAAAATTTAGAGATCATAGAAATCTGAAAATGAATTAATTCTGCCCTGGCCGGGTTTACTCAGTGGTTAGAAAGTTGGCCTGTAGACCAAAGGATTGTGGGTTTGATTCCCGGTCAAGGGCATGTACCTGGGTTGCGGAGTTTGATCCCCAGCCCCAGTAAGACAGAGGCAACCAATGGATGAGCCTCTTTCACATCAATCTTCTCTCTCCCTTCTACTCTCTCTAAAAATATCAATGAAAAAAATATCCTTGGGTGAGGATTAACAAGACAAAAGAAAGAGACAGAAATGCATTAATTCTGATCTCTTCCGTCCCACCTTTCATGTTAGTTGCACTTTCTTTAAAAAAAAAAAAAAACCCACCTTTTTTATTTATTGAGTGGGCAACTTTCTATCATGGTTCTCAATTTCTTTGCTATGACCATTGCATACCACTAGTTTCTTTTGGGTTCATTTTCCTTCTTACTGAAAAAAGTCCTTGAGTAGTTCTCTCAGTGAGGTTCTATCAATGATAGACTTATTTTTTGTTCAAAAATGCTTTTATTTCACTCTTACTCTTCAGTTATAATTTAGCTAGATGTGGTTGGCATTTTTTTTCCTTGTAGTGTTTTAAATATATTCTTATATTTTGATCTTACTGATGAGAAGTATAAAAGTACAGTGATAGCCCTAACCAGTCTGGCTCAGTGGATAGAGTGTCGGCCTGTGGACTGAAGGGTCCCGGGTTCAATTCCAGTCAAGGGCATGTACCTTGGTTGCGGGCACATCCCCAGTTGGGGGTGTGCAGGAGGCAGTTGATTGATATTTCTCTCTCATGGATGTTTCTAACTCTCTATCCTTCTCCCTTCCTCTCTGTAAAAAATCAATAAAATATATTTTAACAAAATAAATAAAGGTACAATGATACATTTTGTTTAAAAATAGTCACTATGAAAAACTACTTTTTCCCCCCTTAAAACATTTTTTAGATTTACTGTGCTGATAGAAAAAATGAATTCATGTAATTTTTAAAATAAGGAGTAAATGGTAAAATGTGAGTCATGAAATATGATAACATTTAGTCCAAAACAAAATTACCTAAGATTGCTACTTGAATATGTAAATATTCTGGTCAAATATTATGTTTTATAATATGCTGTACATAGTGTCATGTTTATTTTTGGCTCTTTCTTTTTAAGTAGTATTTTGAGCCGAGGCTGGTGTAATTCAGTGGTAATAGCCTCGACCCACACACCAAAGGATGTGTGTAGGAGGCGACCAATCAATATGTCTCTCTCATATTGATGTTTCTCTCTCTACCCCTGCTCTTCTTTTCTCTTAAAAAAAAATCAATGGAAAAATTATCCTCAGGTGAGGATTTTTTTTAAAAGGTGGTATTTTGAGTTATGTTTTAATTTAGAGCAGTGGTTCTCAACCTGTGGGTTGCGACCCCTTTGGGGGTCGAATGACCCTTTCACAGGGGCCGCCTAAGACCATCAGAAAACACATATATAACTACATACTGTTTTTGTGATTAATCACTATGCTTTAATTATGTTCAATTTGTAACAATGAAAATACATCCTGCATATCAGATATTTACATTACAATTCATAACAGTAGCAAAATTACAGTTATGAAGTAGCAACGAAAATAATTTTATGGTTGGGGGTCACCACAACATGAGGAACTGTATTAAAGGGTCGAGGCATTAGGAAGTTTGAGAACCACTGATTTAGAGGGAGTCCTAAAATAGACTAGTGCTGTCCAATAGTAGTTACTTTGATAATGGAGATATTCTGTCTGTATTGTCCAATAAAGCAGCCACTAGACCAGTGATGGCAAACCTATGACACGCGTGTCAGAGGTGACACGCAAACTCATTTTTTTGGTTGATTTTTCTTTGTTAAATGGCATTTAAATATATAAAATAAATATCAAAAATATAAATCTTTGTTTTACTATGGTTGCAAATATCAAAAAATTTCTATATGTGACACGGCACGAGAGTTAAGTTAGGGTTTTTCAAAATGCTGACACACCGAGCTCAAAAGGTTCGCCATCACTGCACTAGACCCTGAGTGGTAGTGTATTATCTTTTTATTTACTCTATCTCTTATTAAGTGGAGAGAATTTCTGAATTAATAACTTGATTAGTTGTAGGCCAAATGATTTAAGATACAGTAATTCATTTTTACATGCAGATTTTTTCCAGAAATCATTTGTTTTAATAAAAGTTTGACTATTAGTATATGGTTAGAAGAAAGTTGTAGAATCACAATGAGATTGTATGTTTAGCTTATGGTCTAGTTTCTACAATATAGTCGTATATTCAGTGGGTTTTTGAAGTATTATATTAAGGTTGGTATGTCTTCTAAGGTTAAGTATTAGTTCTTGAGGAAGAAGAATTATAGGACTAACTCTTCAGGTTTCACTCTAATAATAATAAACAAGGGAATTTGTTAATAGTGCCTTTTATTTTTCAGACTGCAAATAGAAGAATCTTCTAAACCTGTACGGCTATCACAACAACTGGACAAAGTTGTGACAACCAATTACAAACCTGTTGCCAATCATCAATACAATGTAAGTCTGTCTTTCTTCATTGTACCTTTTCTGTATCATAGACCATGCTATCAAGGGCTTGAGTTATTCAGCCTTAGTACGGGATAAATTATGATATCCCTAATAAATAATAGTTTTACTTTTTTCATATTTTATACCTTTGTAACAGAGTTTTTAATGTTTTGACAAAAAAATTTAAAGGTCATGAAACAATGGTAATTTTTCCCATTGATTATTAAAATTACTTTGCATAGTTTCAGCTTGCACAGTCATTTATGGTCTCACACTACCATGCAAAGTGAGGACTGCCCTTATGTTCGTTTTGTTTTTTTGTGGGTTTTTTGTTGTTGTTAATCCTCACTTGAGGATATTTTTCCTATTGGTTTTCAGAGAGAGTGGAAGAGAGGGGAGAGGGGGAGAGGGAGAGAGAGAAACAGCAGTGTGAGAGACTCATCAACTGGTTGTCCCTGCATGAGTCCCAACTGGGGGTGAGGATCAAACCCGCAACCCTTCAGTGCAAGGGCCAAGGCTCTAACCACAGAGCAATACTGGTCAGGGCTGCCCTTATGTTTTAAACCTCTTTTTATTGAAGCATATCCAGGGGTCCTCAAACTACGGCCCGCGGGCCACATGCAAATACAAATATTGTATTTGTTCCCGTTTGGTTTTTTTACTTCAAAATAAGATAAGTGCAGTGTGCATAGGAATTTGTTCATAGTTTTTTTTTTACACTATAGTCTGGCCCTCCAACGGTCTGAGGGACAGTGAACTGGCCCCCTGTTTAAAAAGTTTGAGGATCCCTGATGTATACTATATATATTGTATTCTACAATGTACAATACACACATATATTGTATATATAAATCTACTTTGTGCCAGGCACTGTTCTGAGTGTCTCATAAATAGTGACAGCATTTAACCATCATACCTACCCTATGAACTAACTATGGGTATTATCCTCATTTTACAGATAAAGTAACTGAGAGACACCCAGGTTAGCTTACTTGAGGTCACACAGCTGATAATTAATCGGTCCAGTATTGAACCCAGGCAGCCTGGTGTAGGAGTTTACTCTTAATTAACCAGTGTGCTATGTTGCTGCAGGTCATTAGCAATGCTACCAGAGCTAAGAGTTTTGAGTCTTGAAGTACCTGTAATGTAAGGAAAAATTTGATGATTCTCTGAAAATAAAATGAAGCCTAAGTTAAGTCAAGTAGCAATGAACAGTTGATATCTTGTGTTGTGCTTTGTTGATTAATAACTTCTTAATACTGAGTTTAAGAAGAAATAAACTCTTTAAGACTGGCCTGAACCACTACTTTATTTTTTCTTTTGTATTTATTTAGTTTTTTATTTCATTTTTGAACCACTACTTTATGATAGTTGAATTTCTCACAGTTATTTTATATGAGGTGGCAAATGCCAGGCCGGCATCCTCAGTGAGCAGAATGCTGAAATGTAAGAAGGTAAAAATCCTGGGGACTGTGATGAACTGGAGTGCACATGCCCCTTCTAAAGACATTCAAATTTTTAAAATTGCTACACTGTGTAGATTAAATAAAGCAAGTCAAAATTCAGTTACATCCAACCAGACTTTAATTTAACTGCCTCTGGTTATGCTTTAGGAAAAATTTAAACTGAAGAAAAGAACAGGCAAGATAAGTGGAGACAAAATTATCAAATTATCCAAGAGATGTATTTTTCTATTTCCTATTGAGACAGGTAGATAAAAGTCTAATTTTTTACCCTCTTCTATTTTCATGTTGTCTACTCTTAGATGGAAATACATGCAATTTTCTGAAGCCAAGTGGAAATACAGAAGTGTAAAATATTATAGGTCTTAATTGTCTTTGCCTTTCTTCATTAATGTGCTACTCCTGTAGCCCCTAACTATGCTTTTTTTTCCATTTATGGGCCAAACTTCTATATACAGTTTCCACTCCTGTATATGTTTATCACAGTGAGGACAAGAAAGACCTCACTTTCCATAAGCTGTAAAGAGAGATAACCTTTCTGAGGGACACACACACACATCCTCCCCCCCCCCCCCCCCCGCACGAATTAGAAATAATGTAAATGGAATTAATCTATTCCAGAACTCCTAATGATTCCTTGTTTTAACCTTCCTTATGTACAGTACATGTCAGAGGTACTGTTAAATCTATAAATAAATACTTCTTTTCTTAAATATTTGCACTACCCCTTACTAGCCTTAAGCTAATCATTTGGTCTGGGGATTTCTTTTAGGTCAGCATGCAGCATCTTTGCTTGTTCTTATACCACTACCTCCAAAATGGCTGTCACTGGCTAACTGCTTTTCATTTATCCAAATCAACAACAGTTTTTTTTACATTGTCAATTGTCTGTGATCATTGTTTTCTTTCACACCCTTAGCAATATTAGCACTCTTGATGGCCATTTTATGTTTTAAAATTATGCTAATCGTTGATTTTGCCAGCAACAGAAAGCATTCTCTCCTTTGTTGCCTGAGCAACGCTTTTTGTCTTGCTGAGGTGTCAGCTGGAAAGGGTTGTCAGTTCAAAAACTGAAGTTTGGATTGACAATGGAGGCATTTTTCCTGTGACTACTCTGTTGAGAACCAAATTGATTGAAATGGGAGATGGTTGAGAAATGAAGTTTGACTATATTAATGTTGGGAACCTTTAGGAATTTGTTTAATCCTGCACTTTGCAAACATTTTAATATTAACTCCCCCCCTCCTCCCCCCCCCCCCCCCCCCCCCCCCCACCATTTGAAGTAGTGAAAACAAACTTTCAAAGTAATATGTTGTTGCTCTGCAGCAGTGGCTCAGTGGTTGAGCGTTGACCTATGAACCAGGAGGTCATGGTTGGATTCCTAGTAAGGGCACATGGATGAGTTTTGAGCTCTATCCACGATGGGGGGGGGTGTGCAGGAGGCAGCTAATCAAGATTCTCTCTCATCATTGATGTTTCTATCTCTCTTTCCTTCTCCCTTCCTATCTGAAATCAATTCTATCTAATAAAGAGGGAATATGCTAATTGGCCCTCATGCCATTGCAAAGATGGCAGTGCCCATAGCCAATAAGGAGGGAATATGCTAATTGACTGCCATGCCCTCAAAGATGGCGGCACCCACAGCCACAAGATGGCAGCGCCCAGTCCCCTCGGCCCTGCCGGGGCGGCAGGTGTGCGGCAAGGCCGGGGCCAGCCCAAGGCACAGGCAAGCCTCAGATGGCAGCTGCCCAGCCGCCTAGGGCTCCCGAGGCTCAGGAAACCAGAGCCGGCCAAGGCTTGCACTGCCGGCAGTGGCAGCAGCAGAGGTGTGATGGGGCGTCGCCTTCCCCTGATTGCTGGGTCGCCTCCTGCCCCTGAGGGCTCCTGGACTGTGCGAGGGGTCAGGCTGGGCTGAGGGACCACCCCCCTCCAGTGCATGAATTTTCATGCACTTGGCCTCTAGTAAAAATATAAAAGAAAAGAAAAATAATAAAAACTAAGCATTCGAAACATGACAGATCACTGTATTTTGAGAGCAAAACAATAAACTATTTTGTAATTTTGACAAAACTTACTCTTAAAATGTTTTCTTTTTATTTCATTACTTTAAATGTTTTTGTCTATGTTGTATAATATGTATTCATATTAATACAGTACATTTTTACAATTTAAATATAGATATACATAGTTTATGCTGTTATCAGAGAAATGCTGTTTGCATTGCTAATGAGAGTGGAGTTTCTGGGGTACCACTAGAATAAGCATTTCCTGAGACCCACAGGAGAATGAGATGTGCTAGAAAGTTATTTTTGTGGAATTACATGGTTTCCAAAGCCCCATTTCCCTTAATCCAGTTCTGGAAGGTGTGCAGCTGGGGATTCAGCAGAGATAGAAGCAAAGCCAGTGTCCACAGTTTCCATTCCATGATGGAACAGGGTCCAGTACAGCATTAGGCTAGTTCCAGTCCATCAAGCTGTTGTGTGGGGTTCACATGGCCATGAGCCATGTGGGCAAATGCAGGGGAGCCAGGAGAGCACACCCTCTGCAACATGAGTCCCAAGAGAATCAAGAGGGCAAACTCCTTTGTTTAGGAGAATAAATATAGAATCTTCCCAGGCTTGCAGTGGCCACGCCTACTCTGGCCAATGGCCCGTTCCCAGGTGTGTCTGACAGGCAAGTACCTTCCCTATGTCAGGCATACTTTACTGGGCCTGCAGGGGACAGACCGGTGGCATCCTGGGGAGTGTTAAACTTCAGCTTCCTGGCAAAGCTGCACAAATGGCATGCCTGTAAAATTTGGCCTTCCCTTCGCTCCTTTCCAGTTATTCATAACTAGGTTAAATTATAACAGTATCAGTGCTTTACATATTTCGCTGACAGGTGTGTAATCAAAATATGAGGTCAGCTGATGTGAAAGATTCCTTCCAATTCCCTCTATCTCTGATTGCAAGTAAGGGTGCTTCTGTATGTGTGATTTGGTTGACTTTATGGACATTATCATCTAGCCTGTGTAAATTTACAGCATTCTTATTAGGTTGTCCACAGTCTTATGACCTGTTCTCATAAGGAATCATGTTTCTGTTGTCTACATCGTGGTCCCCAATGCTGGCTGTACCCTAGAATCATCTGGGAAGCTTTTTTAAAAAGAAAAATACCTCCAGAGATTGATTTAATCGATATGATGTGAAGCCAGCTGTCTTAAAATTTTCAAGCTCCCTGGATAATTGTAGCATGCAGCTACTGATCCAAATAGACAGGAACTTTTTATAGTTCTGTTTGCCGTCTTCTGTTGGGGGAAGACCAGGAAGTCTCTTTCCTCCAGACCTGAGGTTTTTTAAAAAGAATATTTTGTTATTTTTATCATTCTCTTTGTACACCCCAACCCCAGCTTGAAAAAAAAAGATTTCTCTCCCCTAGAAAAACTTAACTAGAAAACTATTGTTGGAAGGAATAGAATTATTATGTAAAATCTTGAGATAAGCCCCCGGGAACTAGAGAGAATATTCATTTTTATGTATATTCTAGTCCCTTTAATGTGGCAACCAA